GAAATTAAAAGACGCTTGCTCCTGGGAAGGAAAGCTATGGCAAATCTAAACAGCATTCTAAAAAGCAGAGACATCGCCCTGCCAACAAAAGTGCGTATAGTCCAGGCCATGATTTTCCCAGTTGCAATGTATGGCTGTGAAAGTTGGACCATAAGAAAGGCTGAGCGCAAAAGAATTGAGGCCTTTGAACTATGGTGCTGGAGAAGACTCCTGCGAGTCCCTTGGATTGCAAGGCGTTCAAACCGGTCAGTCCTAGAAGAGATCAACCCCGACTGCTCTTTAGAAGGCCAGATCCTGAAGTTGAAACTCAAATACTTTGGCCACTAATGAGAAGGAAGGACTCACTGGAGAAGGGCCTAATGCTGGGAAAGATTGAGGGCAATAGAAGAAGGGGACGACAGAGAATGAGATGGCTGGATGGAGTCACTGAAGCAGTAGGTGTGAATTTAAATGGACTCCAGAAGATGGTAGAGGACAGGAAGACCTGGAGGAATGTTGTCCATGGGGTCGCGATGGGTCGGACACGACTTCGCAATTAACAACAACAATGCTTTATAATCATCTTACACTAATCACTTTCAGCAAGCAATCTTAATCTCCATATTCATTCAAGATATCTTATTATTCAAGTCTATTTGTTTTATTATATATTTGCTCTAAATAAACAAACATAATACATTTTCATACTTTTCATACATTTCTCAGTCACCTCCTGTAGTAAGAATCTGGTCTGCTTGTTCATTCTTTCCTTACATTTTTTCAGACAAAAAAAATGCCTAACATCTTTCTGGGTATAGATAACAGCTAATCTCTGTTATTTTTGCTTTCATTTACTATACACAAAACAATAACTGCATTTCTTCCAATGTTCAGGCACAGTCATCATACACAATAAAGAAATGTCATTGCCGTTCCTAAGCAAATTTATATTTTATCATGTCTGCATTTAAACCATCCAGTTATATTTGCAGTCTTAATGATTCAACTTGTCCCTAGCATTTCTGATTTCCTCTTCGGCTATTTTTTTGAGAAACTAATATTTATAGCATTAGTTTCAATTTTACTTTTTACATGTTACTATTATTTCCATGTAAGTCTCTAGAATTCTTCTATATTCAATTTCATCCCAAATCATTTCATCACTTTGTTTTTTTCAATTCCATTTGTTCTTCCATTCATTTCCTTGTTTAGCCCTCTTTTATATTTTTAAGAATTATGTTTTAATTTCCATTAGAATTGTTCTGCATTTTCTCCTTCCATGTCTTTCTTTCTTCCTTTCCTTTTTCTATTACTCCTTCATATGTGGATGATATTTTCTCTTCTTGCAATTATTTTATTATCATGCCCATTTCTTTCAAGATTGACTTTTGACACCACTCACTGCAATGCAATTGTATACAGATTCCAATAAGAAGTTTTAATATGGAGATTAGGAGTAATGTACAGAATCTTGGATATTATATTAGGAACTTCCAGCCTTCGTTTTAGTGAGTTCGTTAAGACAGAATCTCTTTGAATATTTTTAATTTCTTCCTGGGCTTTTTGCAGCCTAAACTGAGCTTCCACGTGAGATACATTATTAATTAATTTTTCTCCCACCTATTGGTGCTTTGCATCTAATATTGTTCCTCTTATTTTCCCAGTCTTTCTCTCCCAATCACTCACAATGGCCACAATGTAATGGTCTGTTACCTATTCAATACTCTTCCCATCCTTTTATCCTTCACTCTTTTTTTTGCCAATATCTTATCAGAAATACTTAAAATCAGTCAAGCTTTTAGATGTATATGCAATGTCTATTATATGTGTGAATAGACTTATATTTTGTCTCCCCCGTTCATTATTGAAAATGGCCCTCTCATCTCTCATCTCATTCCCTTAGTCCTATTCATGTCAACTGACAGAACCATTTAATCATATTCATCTGGAAGGCTGCAGTTTTTCCCAGAATTCATCTGGTTTACAATTCATTGGAGAGCTACATGCCAATGGATTCTTATTTTTATACACACTTATATTTTCTTTATTTCTTTATTGGATCTATAAGGCCACCCAACTCAAACAATATGACCCTGGGAGGCGTACAATAAAAAACAAATAATAAACTAACTCTTCTAACTTCTACAGAGTTAGAAGAGTGGCAAAAATTATGGGATAGAAATATTAAACTAACTAAAGCTGTGCCATATAAAGAAAACTTGTACAAAATGTTTTACATATGACATATGACACCAGTGAGACTAGCGAAAATGTTTAAAAATACCCCAAATAATTATTGGAAATGTAAACAAAGGCCAGGTACATATTACCATATCTGGTGGACATGCCTTAAAGCAAAAAGGTTTGGGTTAAAATACATTCATGGTTCAAGAAGATGACTAAAAAAACAAATAGACTTTAAACCAGAATTGTTTCTGCTAGGAATAACAGGAGCCAATTACGAGAAGGAGAGCAGATATCTAATATTACATGTATTAACAGAAGCAAGAATTGTATTTGCCCAATATTGGAAAAATGAAAACATGCCAACTGAAGAAGTATTAATTAAAAAAATTCTAGAGTGCGCAGAAATGGATTGATTGACTTTAGAGATTAAAGAGAAAGAAAATTCAGTTTACTTTAAAACATGGGATAATTTTTATCAATGGCTAGAAAAATAACTCAGAGAGAAAGGAATGTAATATGTAATTTTGAATACATACTAGCAAGAAGGACACTATGGAGTGATTAGTTAATATTGCCTAAGATAGTTAATCATATTTATTATTATCACCTATTACTATATCTACTATTGTTGTTTAAATATATGTACCCAGACAATATGCTGTTTGCTAAACATCGAAAATGTTACTTGGGGAAACCCCAGCCCCAACCCCAACCCTGATCCCAACCCTAACCTAAACCCCAATCCTAACCCTGACCCCATTCTACCCTTTAAAAATTAATAAAACTTAAAAAAAACACCAAATAATAAACCAAAAAGAGCCATGTAATGTTAAAACATAACATGTATAAATTATAAACATGAAATACAGAATATAAGCAACCCAGCATTAATATAAAAAGAACCAGAAGGAAATCCACCCAAATGGCCCCAAATGCCTGGAGAAAAATCCAAGTCTCAACAGCTTTCCTAGAGGTGAGCCCAAGATGGGAAATCTTATACATACTTATAACAACCTAAATCATACCATTCATATTTGTGATATGCCTTTTAGGTGTTTCATTCATAATTAAACTTATTCATTATACAGCCTCTCAACTCATACATAGTGATTACAGGTGGTGTACAATATTAAAAATCCACAGTTAAATATCCCTATTCCTAGTAAAACCCCTGGATGAATTGGACAGGCTCTTGAAAGTTATGGTTTCCATTAACTCCAGAGCTACGTCTGACCCCACTTCCAGGGAAGGCAAATTGAACCCCTCCAGAATTATAAGCCTGGGGAATCCATTGCTGACTCTGCAGTATGACCTAAGAGATCTTGCAGACAGGCAGTTGTGCAGCAGGGAGGCTGGTACAATAGCAACAATCCACCCCACCCCCACCCCATCCCTAGGAAAAGGGTTTTACAGCTGCGAACTGTGGAGCAATGCCCCTGATAGCAACCAGAGATTTTCTAATGACAATAACAATACACCTCCCCCTTTTGTGCAGTCTAGGTTGATACAGCACCCAATACACAGCTGGGAAAATTTCTGAGAGAGGGATCCCTTCCTCTGGCAATAAGAGAAGCCACATTACAGACTGGCATTTAAAAGCACCAGTTTAAACCTGGGCAACTGTTAGTCTGCTGACAAATGAGTTGAGCCCAAAGGGGCTGGAATGAGAACTCAGTACAAAGCATTAGACTTGTGTTCCCAACAAGCAGACGGCCCCATCTCCCACAATTATATCTTCCCATACCTGACAACACTGAGATACTATGACCCACCTTATTCACCCCACTAGTCTCTCCATCTTGCATTCTTACCTTCCCCTCTCACTCTCAAACCCTCCCCTCCCCACCCCAATCTAACTACATGCATTAGAAGATACAGAAGGAAACCTGCCAGGCACTATAGCACTCAACTATCAACCATATGAATAACTGCATGTATTCATCAACTCCGTTCTATAAGAACAGATCACCATCATTCAGACCTATTCCGTCCTACCCATTTGTTAAATTTTAGAGATATGACTTACCTATTTCTTTCATTTTACTTGTTAATTCATGCTCTTTACTATGTATTCCTCTTATATTTTGTTCAAATGCCATCTCCATCACCAGATGGACTCTTAGATATAGGCTTCTACCCCTTATCATGGCTTTGAGCATTTAACACATTAATAATAAAGTAATTTTTTTGATTTACAGACTAATAGTGAAATAAAGTAGAATTTTGTTAAATCCAAATGGGATTCTACCCATGCATTTTAACACAGTTTTTGACAGGGAAAATGGGAGTGGGAATTTATGTATGATATGTTATGTAGTTTATACAGTTTATGCATGGGCATAACCATAGAGAGAGTGGTGAACCTATGGCACGCGTGTCACAAGTGGCACACAGAGCCCTCTCTGTGGGCACACGTGCCATCGCCCCAGTCCTAAGCCTTCAGCTGGGTTTTATAAAACTTTTTCACTTTAGGCCTCCGCTGCTGTGTGCAAAAAAAAAAAAAGGTTCAATCAATCAGTCAATTTCAACCTCTTGCGGGAAAAAAAAAGTTCTCGCAAAGTTGGAATTGATTGAACTTTTTAGTCCCACCCAGTCTGTCGTTACCACAGCAGCCACGCCCACCCAATTGGCCACTCCCACTTGGCACCCGACGATACATAAGTGGGTTTTGGGTTGCAGTTTGGGCATTCGGTCTCTAAAAGGTTCGCCATCACTATCATGGAGTATAAGAACAGATTTTCTCTGTTGCATCCAAACTCCACTAAACTAAGGTCTGCTTGCTGTATCGTAAAAGTGTAGATTAGAGGCCACCAACCTTGAAGTGAAATTATTACCTTGGGTTGGAAAAGAAACTTGCATTGCTGCTCTTTGGATTATGTTCAGGATCTCCTGTAAAATAGTTTATACTTAAGTTGTTTTTCAATACTGAAAGAAATTGACATAGAAACTGTTTCATGGCACATATTATGTTTCCCTGAAAATAAGACCTAACTGGAAAATAAGCCCCAGCATGATTTTTCAGGATGCTCGTAATACAAGCCCCACTCCAAAAATAATCCCCAGTTAAGATCATCAGCCAGACAGATGCATTTAGTACTGTATTTCCCTGAATATAAGCCCTAACCACAAAATAAGCCCTAATGCTTCTTTTGGAGCAATAATTAATATAAGACCTGGTCTTATTTTGGGGGAAACACGTTATTTACATGATGGTAACTGCTTGTGTTATTTTTGTTTTCTACATACAGTTTATACAATGTGACTGTGGGGTGCTACATTAATGGCATACAAACTGATTTGCTTTTAAAAGAACATTGTACAGGATTAGTCTGCTAAACTAATGTGTATGGCAATATTCAAGTTCACTGAATATTGGCACTGAAATGCATACTATAATGAGTGTTACATTATCAATGACAAGTAAAAGAAAAAGACCCCAATAATTCCAACTGATTTTTAAGTAGTTGTTGCAGTACTAAGCTTTCTACACAAATGACTAAATAGGATTTGAGTGGCCTGACCTATCACATACTGCTTACATCTTTGCAAAACATGTTGTGTTAGCTATTTCTGTAAACCATGTTTGCCAAGACGGTTTTCCTTTTGTTTTTCAGAAAATAAAAACTTTTTAGGGCTTTACTTCATTTTTGCCTCTAAAAATAGCGTTGCACAATTACACAAAAAGAGTATATTTCTGTCATTTGATTTAAGTAACGAATAACACATATAAGCATGTTTTATCCCCAATTTAGATTCTTCTTTGAATGAAATGACTCACTTTGCAGCAGATTCTTTTTTCCCTAGAAACAATGTACCAGAATATATATATATAAATCGCAATTCATTAGATGCATCATCTGTCATTTAGGCTGGGAAAAAGTAAAACCAACTTTACCATAGACAGCAAAGCCACACTTAATGAAAAATGATACTGTAATCCAGAAGTCTGCAACCTTAACAACTTTAAGACTTGTGGACTTCAGCTCCCAGAATTCTGGGAGCTGAAGTCCACAAGTTTTAAAGTTGTCAAGGTTGCAGACCCCTGCTGTAATCAATGAATAAAACAATTGTTTAAACAATTGAGCTGAGTAAGTTCTGCAATCCTTTTGCATAAATAATTATTACTGGGTTCACTTGAAACACCAGGTGGCAGCTGCAGGCCATTGTTTTCTAGGCTCAGAGGTTAAACAGAGTCATAACTACAGTACTATAATTAATATTGAGTTGGGTCAGCACCAGAGAATTCAAGATCTTGGACTAGGAAGTCAAAAGCATCTCAGAAGAAGGCAATGGCAAACTACCTTGGCAAAAATTGCAAAAACAAAAAAACTAAAATCCCAAACCTCCCCCAAACATCCTTATATGGTTGTATCCATGGAATCACCATGAAACAAATTTACTAATTTATCATTATCATTAAAACTGATATTCTCAAAAGTTTTAGACAAATAAAGTAGTTCCTTCTACATGGATTGACTATCAGCTTGAAAACATCAGTAATAATAAATAAATGGCTGTTATTTGCAAGAGTTAGTGATCTAACTATATTTCCTTTAATACACTAATTTCATTTTCCCAGTAGATCCTTTCTCCTCCTTGGAAATAGTTTTCAATATATATATATAAGACCACACATTGCTGCTCAAAGCACGAAGCTGAAAACACCAGCCCGAAGATGACGAATGGGACTTCGTCGAAACGTCGCCAAGACACTTCCAATTTTACGCGGGAGAAAACCCGAACAACCAAAGACCTATATATATATATATATCTATATATATATATATATATATATATATATATATATATATATATATTCTGAGGTTTTCGCGGGTATTTGTATGTAGGTCTTTGGTTGTTCGGGTTTTCTCCCGCGTAAAATTGGAAGTGTCTTGGCGACGTTTCGACGAAGTCCCATTCGTCATCTTCTGGCTGGTGTTTTCAGCTTCGTGCTTCAAGGAACAATGTGTGGTCTTAGCTGTTTCTTCCTTTTATCTGCCAGTGGGGGTATGAACTGATTGGGTGGGAGCTTGGCTGTGTTCTGATTGGGTGGAGGTATGTTCTGATTGGTTAGGGGCTTGGCTGTGCTCTGATTGGCTGGAGGCTTGGCTGTGCTCTGATTGGCTGGGGGGTTGGCTGTGCTCTGATTGGCTGGGGGAGTATTCTGTTTGGGTGGGGGCTTTGTTGTGCTCAGGTTAGTCTGAGTTGCAGGGGGATTTAAGATGGTGGGCTGCCTTGCTATTTTTGGCTTCGTGTTCGTGGTCGTGCCTCATCTTCATGGAGGGTGTCAGTTTGCTTCATGTATGGATTGGAGAGGTTTAAAGCGGCTAATGATGCAGCTATGGTCTGGCTTCTGGTTTGTGGTCATGCCTCATCATCAGTGTGGCTTTGGGTTTGCTTTTTGCATGGATGTGTGATGGTGACATCCTGTGTGGTTTTTGTAAGTGTGGGTCTGGTGTCATTTTTTGTGTTAGGCAGTCATTTGTCAATAAGGGCGGGTTTCCAAATGGCTGCTAGGCAGGACGTATCATCTCATTTGTTCATGCTGTGTGGGCATTTTTCTATCTTGATGGCTTCTCTGATTATTCTGTTATTAAAATGTTCAGTTTTGGCGATAGTTCTGGAAACAGAAGCTAATAACCAACTTCCCTTCCTGGATGTCTTAGTCTACAAGAAATCCAATGGCTCCCTAGGACACACCATCTACTAGAAGAAAACACACACAAACCGCTATCTGCATGCTCTCTCACACCACCACCCAGCACAGATCAACTCCGTAGCCAAGACACTCATCTCTAGAACAAAACGCTTCCCTTCTCTCTCTCTCTCTCTCTCTCTCTCTCTCTCTCTCATGCAGACTTGCCCCCTTGCAGAGCTGATTGACCCTGCACCCCGGTGCCCCATCCCCTGGGAGAAGGGTGGCCAGGAAGTCTCTTTCCTGGGCTGGCCCCGTCCAAGGTGCACATGGCCAGGGAGCCATGCAGGGAAGCCCTGGGATCCCTGCTGGGAGCAGCCTGCCGAAGCCTCCGCTGAGTGGACCAGCCCTCCCACAAGCCGTGGTCCTGGTTGGCCAAGCAGCAGCAGAGCCGGAGATGGAGGGTGAGTGGTGGGAGGAGGGGGCTTTGAGTCTGCGGAGCACTGCTGCAAAGCAACTGCAGGGCAGGTTGTACCCCCCATCTTACCTGTACCAGGCAGAGGGGCAGCTGAGTCAGCCACGCATCTCTCCGGGCCGGGTGGCAGTCCCGGCTGGGGTGGCAGCATCGCTTCCTGGGCCATCCCCGGGCTGCTCCCTGGGCAGCTGAGCCAGCCACATGTCTCCCCGGGCTGGGTAGCAGTCCTGCCTGAGCTGGTGGCAGTGGGGGCATCGCTTCCTGGGCTGTCTCCGGGCCGCTGAGCTGGCCACGCATCTCCCTGGGCTGGGTGGCAGTCCCGGCAGAGTGGCAGCATCGCTTCCTGGGCCATCCCTGGGCTGCTGAGCCGGCCACGCATCTCTCCAGGCCAGGGGGCAGGGGCATCTCTTCCTGGGCCGTGACAATACTGCCTGTGTCCATTTCTGGTTAAGCAGCAGGAATGCTAATTGGGGAGTGGGGGGGGGGAGACAGAGAGACCCCCATCCTATTTCCAGGCTGCTGGTCGCAGGTGGATTATCTGCCAAAGAGCCACTTGCTTGGCTGGGCCTGCAGAATGGAAGAAGCTCCCACAAATGGCTGAAAACTGATCTTGTCAAGAGCTATTTTCTCCGGTAGACAAAACTGACATTGTCAGCCTCTGGGGTGGGGTGGGGGGGCTCATGTTTGGCCTTGGCAGGAGCCCAAAGCCCACCTTTTCCCATCCGCCAGTCCTGAGATAAAGCAGACCCCCCTCTTGGAGACCCAACCCCCCCCCCCTCTCTCTCTCTCTCTCTCTCTGTGTGTGTGTGTGTCTCACACTATGTTTATGAGAGATTTACGTCTAAATGAGATCTGGATAAAGTTTTTTTCTCTCCAGAAGGAGAGGCATAGAAGAAAAAGAGAAGAGAGAGAAGAGAAAGAGAGAGGAGAGATAGAGAAGAGAGAGGGAGAGAGAAGAGAGGGAGAGGGAGAGAAGAAAAAGAGAAAAAGAGGGAGGGGAAAGAGAGAGAGAGGAAAGAGAAAGAGAGAGGCGGAGGAAAGAGAGAGAAAGAGAGAGGAAAGAGAGAAAGAGAGAGGGGGAGAGGAAAGAGAGGGAAAGGAAAGAGAGAGAGGGAGAGGAAAGAGAGAGAAAGAGAAAGAGAGGAAAGAGAGAGGGGGGAGAGAAAGAGAGAGAGAGGAAAGAGAGAGGGGAGAGAGGAAAGAGAGAAAGGGGAGAAAGAGAGAGAGAGGGAGAGGAAAGAGAGAAAGAGAGAGAGCGAGGAAAGAGAGAGGAAAGAGAGAGGAAAGAGAAAGAGAGGAAAAAGAGAGAGAGGGAGAGGAAAGAGAGAGAGAGAGAGAGAGAGAGAGAGAGAGAGAGAGAGAGAGGAAAGAGACTCTTTTGACATCTAAAATGAAGATAACACTGCATATATAACACTGCATATATCCGTTTTTTTTGTCCATGGGGTCGCGATGGGTTGGACACGACTTCGCAATTAACAACAACAACATATCCGTTTTTACCACATATATATATATTTCATAAAGGTAAAAAAGGATATATGTAGTGTTAGCTTCATTTTTGATATCAAAAGGGTTTTGCTGCTCCCAGTGTTTTGTTTTCGGTGGGAAACAGGTCCAAGTTGCTCTTTGAGTGTTTTGGGTTGCCTACCCCTGACCTAGCGTAATGGTATGTGGGAATGACCTTGGGACATAGGAGTAACAGCCAGTCTAGACAAGAGTCTAACAAATGAAATTTGAATCTAAAAAAGGAGGGGTGGCGAAAACTCAGAAGGGAGCTGCTTTGGGGAGGGTAATAAGGAGGGATAGGAGGATTACTTTCTGGGTTGCAAAATTCTGTTACTGTAATCTTACAATAAAAATGGAGCTAGTACTCCTGGGGGTGTTTCTTATCTGGATTACTTGGCAGGACTGACTGACAGGACATTCTTGACTTTTATTAATGGAATAGATCAGGCATGTCAAACTCGTGATGTCACGTGATGTTGCGCAATGTATCAGGCCGGTTTTGCCATTACCGCCAATGGGGTGGGCGCGGCTTCTATGTGATGTGTCCGGCCTATGGGCCAGCAGTTTGACACTCCTGGAATAGATAAAGGTCCCTGCACTGTAGTTATGCAGTTATTTTGGGCAGATGGGAAAGAGATAAGAGGTAAAATAACCTTTATTGACACTTTTTCTGTGTACACACTGGCACATATTAAAAGTGAAATTCTCTCTCAAAAGAGTATACACACATACACATATGCTGTATATATACATATTTATACATACAGAGATATACATACATATTTATACATATATACATATACATAGATACATACATATATCATAGTTCAGAGCCGTGGTGACTCAGTGTTTACAATGCAGTATTATAAAAAAGTCTGAATTCCACAGCCAAGAATTCGATCCTGACTGGCTCAAGGTTGATTCAGCCTTCCAGTCTTCTGAGATCAGTAAAATGAGGACCCAGATTGTTGGGGGGCAATATGCTGTCTCTGTAAACCGCTTAGAGAGGGCTGTAAAGCATTGTGAAGTGGTATTACAGTAAATCTAAATGCTATTGATATTACTATTTTGAAGACATAGCAGAAAAACAAGTCTTGAGAGTTAACAAAGTTGATACTATATGATACAAAGCTAGATGTTTTGCTTTGGCTACCACGAAGCCTCCTCCCAGAAGGTAACAAAGAAAACTGGTCATGGAGAGGATGTGTGGTCCCTGACAATATTGCAGACTCTGGCCAAGCAGCGCTTATATGCCATGTCCTGGATAGAAGGGAGTGAACTTCCAATAATCTTTTCTGCCATCCTCACCACTCTCTGCACAGCCTTCCTGTAATACTTCCAAACCAAACAATAATACTGTACAACAGGATGCTTTCAATCATCCCTTTGTTGGAAGGGGTATGGACAAGAAAAGGAAGATGTGCCTTTCTCATATGATGCAGAAAATGCAGGTGCTGCTGCGCCTACTTCACCAGTGTCTCACTGTTGAGTGATGAAGCTAATCTACTCATTAGCTGCATACTTAGAAACTGGATACTGCTAACCACCTCCACAGCTGAATCATTAATATACAGAGGTGTATGGCTGTCCCTGCCTTTTTTGAAGTCGACAAAGATCTCTTTTGTTTTTTCTACATTTAGAACCAGGCAGTCCACCAAACCCCCTACCTCCTCCCTGTGAGCATCCTCACTGTCATCCTGAATAAGGCCTGCTATTGTTGTGTCATCCATATGCTTCACATTATGGTTGGTAGCAAACCTTGCACAACAGTCATGGATCAACAGGGTGAACAACAACGGATTTAGGACACAGCCTTGAGGAGAACCTTGTGTTCAAGAAAGTGGTCTTATAAATATTAATCCCAGCTCACACATACTGGGGCTTTCTCTGATGTTATGATTCCATCCCAGACCCTGAAAGGACAGTTAAGCACTTGCTCATAGCATTGAAAAGATGGCAGAGTTTGGCTGTATCCAAGCATTAATTTGTGACACCTTATTCAGAAACCAGTCACTGCCTAGTAACTGAATACCGGCACAATGTACTTTATTATTATCGATTACATATATATGCCAGATTTTCATATATTGCAGTCTATTCACTTTTCAGGTAAACTCTGAATTCAGCAGGTGGCTATTTTAAAATGTGTGGATTTCAAGTAAATGATATGCTTTCTACTTCCCTATACAATGTGATTTTTTCCCCCAGATCAAATGAATTTTGTTCTTTTATTGCCCTTGCATACGAAATAGCCATAAAAATTATTTTTACTTGTTGATCATTAATGTTATTTTAATTATAATTAAAATGAAACATAAGAGCTGATACATTTTAAACATGTTCATTACCTCTTCTGAAATGTCATCATCTCTCTGATCATCCGGATTATCTTCTGTTTCTGTAAGAAGCAAAAATACCCCATATAATCTATTACAATCTTCTCAAAATGAAAGGAAGCCAAATTAAATTACAAGAAAAAACAACTCAAAATCTACAGTTCAGCAATATAACTTTGACCCCAACATACCTTGAATGTCAGATTTTATTATTTAACCCTAATAAAAGAATCATTTGACAATAGCTGCTTAAAATATTAGACTTTTTCCCCTTTATGTATCAATTTATACTGAGAGAAAAGAATGTTCCAATTAGATTTCTAAGAACATGGAAGCACTAAGTTTGACTTTATGTATAGTAAGTAAACCTTAGCCATTTCTCACAGAAGAGAGTTCCATGTCAGTGAAAAGTCAATATACTAGGACTGCACTGTATATTTGGCTTTTATGGCCATTTTGCAAAACCACGTATATATGGAATGGATGGACAATCATTTAAAAATCATCTTCTGAAAGGTCAAATTTACCATGAATGTACTTTGGCTATAAAATACATGCCACCTAGAACCGCCAATCAATATTAGTTTTAGGATATTTATTCCAAAACATAGAGAATTAACACAATAATTAACCCAAACATAGGAATAGTGATTAGCCTTATAGGAGACTTCCAGTTTCTCAGCAACCATGCTCATTGTTTTTGCTACACTTCAAAATGAGTAAACCTTAGTAGTCATAACCAAAGCCATATTTAAAAGACTAAGGCATATGATGTTTAAGTTAGAAGCAAGCATAATTGCATACAGCAAGTGATTACCTTAGTAGTTAAATGAAAATCATCTAAAATGACCAACTGCCTGGAAGTGCAAAATATTCCCACCCCTAGTCCCCATTGTCTCTACATTTGAATCAGGCAATATGACTAAAAAAATCACCTCAGTTTTTGGAAGTGAGGCAGACCCCATTCTCCTGGTCTTTCAGACAGGTGTGAGAACATGGTTCTGCATCCTTTTGGGGGGGGGGGGTTTATGGAAGAGGATGCAACCATGGGGCTGGTTAGTACCCTGAAAGCCTTTTAACGTTGATTTTTAATTCATCCTTCCCTTTTTCAATTTTCAATTTTATATATAGTTTTCAACTTTATGTTTTAATATTTTATTTGTACATTGCCCAGAGACCCTTTGTGAGGGAAATGGGTGGTTTTAAAAAATAAATAAAACAGGGATAGGGACACTGTTCTGTGCATGGGATATGGCTGAATCTACTAATGAGCAAACAAATATTGAATCAAGCAACCTCAATGAAATGTAGCTTATTATTAGCTAAAAAAAATCCAATTTGTCCAACAGGTCCTATCTTCTCTATCCTAATCCTTAAGCTTTGGCAAACTCTCATCACCAGCACTTCCAACAGCAGAAAAGTTTTGTAAATGAGCAGAGAAAAACTCCTATGCCAGAACAAGTATAAAAGTTTATTTAAAAGGACCCAGGTCAAACTTATTATTTATTCGTGATGTGACAGATGAGAGAGAGGGAAGCCCTTCACTGAATCTTCTAGATGAGCAATTATTGTAAATGATTCTCAATTTTCTAATTCCAGCATTTCAAAAATGAAAAGTGGCATTCACTTTTAAAATAATCATTTTGTTCTTTTTCCACCCATTTGAAACGAACTTTGTAAGAACTATACTCCTCCAATTTTCCATTATGCTCTTTGCACAGTTCCCTCTCCCTGTTTAATTATTTTCCTCCAATGGTGGAATTTTAATTACATCATGCTTTGGAAGTTGGAAGAAACTGCAGCTGGGCACCTCCCTCCATACCATTGCATGTATGTACTTACTAAACCTTTCCCATCTACCTGAAGGAAGAATGAGCCCCTTGTCAGCCCTGCCCACTCTTCACCCTGCCTTAAAACTGAATTTTGAACCAGACAGCTTCTTTCATCCATGTTGGTTCCCTGTGTATATTGAAAAATATTTTCAAAATTTCTCGAAAGAGAATAGCTAAACTCATGTTTCTTAAAATACTATAAAATTAAGTAAATAAAACAAAGATGTATAGCTTCTTGCTGACTCCACCTTTCCTGGGCGGGGTGGGGATTGTATATGTAAGATATAGGTTACCAGACTAAATAGTTCTTTGTATAGTATACCCCATCATATTTAGCAGTGGTTAGAATGTAGTATTGTAGTCTAATTCTGCTGACTGCCAGCAGTTTGATTATGACAAGTTCAAGATTGACTTAGCCTTTCCTTTTCTGATCTCAGTAAAATGAGGACCCAGATTGTTGGGGGCAATTTGCTGATTCTGTGAACTGCTTAGAGAGGGTTATAAAGCACTGTGAAGCAGTATATGAGTCTATTGCCTTTGCAGTTGCTTTGTCCTTACATAATTAAGCCCTCAAATTGAAATGGGTTTTAAAAAATATTTTACACTGAGGCTGTTTTTTCTTGGATTTCCTAATCACATTCAAAATCACCAGACAATTGTGTTTATACTTTATAGGCTGATTCAGGTGAGGTGAAATGTGTGGAGGATTCTGTATTTTTCCAAAATTTAGCAATCCAAAATGTTATATATATATATGTATATACATACATACATCTAAGAATTGTCTCTAATTATATTAAAAATGCGAATCCTGGGTATATTCATATTCAGCAACAATCACACGTTCGACCTTACTGGGGCGGAGGCCATCACCCAGGATGTCACCAAGGGTGGCCGGTTACTGAAGGAGGTTTGGCTGTCACATGAACACTCAATTAATCACAACATAGAGTTACTGCCTGCTTATCAGGCACTAAGGAAGTGGGAACAACACCGTAACAAGTCACAATGAGTGCAATGGGCGCAGCCTACGCAAGACCAGAACTTCTGTCTCATGCAACAGCAAAGAAAATACGACTGGCAAAGGGGAGAAATCCCCAGCATGATTCGTACAGGAGCCAATGATGGAAGACGGGGTGCCACACTCACAACAAGGGGGGGTGGCCACAGGACAGGAGGCACTGGGGGACCATCCTATAGCAACGTGTACCCAGATACGTCCAAAGCGGGCAAAGAGAGCGACAATAAGAGAGGCAGTGATCCCTGAGCTTACAAGTATACAGATGGATTTGAGACTATTAGAAGCAATACGGTCAACTGGGGTGGGTAGACCGGTGATGCGTTCTATGAGAAGAGCGCACAAACTGCTGGTTTTATGAGCAGACTTTCAAACCTCTAGCATTCCACTCTGATGACGTCGGCAGTTAGCCGACAAAAGCTAAGTTTATCAAACAGTTGTTAGTTTATTAAACAGTTGTTTTTTATATTTATCCCGGTGTTCGACTACTTCTCTCAACATCTAAGAATAAATAACTACCCCAAGAATACTGAGATCTTTATTTGGATTTTTTTAAAATTCAAATAATTATTTATAAGTCTCTATTGGGTTGATCTCTAAAAGACTATAGGGATACATCCAATTGCTTTCTTGGTCGACAATGCAAAAATGATATGGCTTTGCCTTCTCCTAGGGTTTTTTTTAAAAAATTATTTGTGCCCAACTTAATTTAGAACATTTGGATTTCTTAATGATTTTTCATCCCAATACTACCTTGATTAAACTGTTAGTTTTTCAAGATCAAGTATAGTAATCCTCAACTTACAACCACAATTGAGCTCAATTGTTACTAAGCAAGAAAGTTGTTAAGTGAGTTTTGCATCATTTTATGAGCTTTCTTGTCACAGTTGTTGTGAAACACTGCAGAAATTAAGTTAGTAACATGGGTGTTAAGTGAATTTGGCTTCCCCCATTGACTTTGCTTGTCAGAAGGTCGCAAAAGATCACATGACCCCAGGACACTCCAAGTGTCATAAATATATGACAGTTGCCAAGCGTCCGAATTTTGATCACATGACTATGGGGATGCTGCAACGATCATAAATGTTAAAAACAGTCATAAGTCACTTTTTTCAATGCTGTTGTAACTTCTAACTTCACTAAATGAAAGGCTGTACATCAAAGACTACCTGTAACCCCGACTCTATTTACTATCCAGATAGTTATAACTTCTATAACACTTTGGAATGGGTACTATAAACAGAGATTGAAAAACAACAGCTTATGGAACTTTTCTCTTCCCTAGTGGTGGATGCCCTTTTGCTGTTTGTTCAAGAGCTGTGTTGATTATTCAAGATGGGAATGATATGAACTTAAAAAGCAATAATGTAACAGACTTTACAACTAGACTGCCTGCTAACAGCACAATTGGTGGTCTCCATCTTCAAACTTTTAACTTCAGTCAAAAAATAAGTTTGACCTATTAAAGGAGTCCTTTGTACAATTTACTGAGAGTCAGCCAAATAAAAGCAAAAGCTATAAAATCACCTGCTGTTCACATCAATGAGTGGTTCACAGGGAAACTATAAATGACCCAACTCCTGAATCTACTAGGAGAGGAAGAAATAAGTGGGGAGGCTATAACTATCAAGCAGGAAAAGTTCAGAACAAAATTATTGCAATTATCACTTACTTGAAACTCTCCATTGAAAAAATATAGTTAAAACTCTGTTCTTGCAATTCTGTATACCAGACTTTTCAAATCTGGTGTTTCAATAAATTTTATAATTTCTAATTAGCTTGGTGAAAGTATGAATAAGTCAGTTGTTGTCCAGTTCATCTGGAGGATACCAGATTTTTTAAAATTGCTACACACTTTCCTGAGAATATCTGATTAAATACATGTAAGGGGTGGCACTGGAATGGAACAGTGTTGGTTATGTTTCACAGTGTCTGTAGGAAATGTTTACAACTTGAAACAGAGAGATAACATGTGCAGGGTAAGATGGGAAAACATTCAGCTTTCAAAGGGGAAGCAAAAAAGAATAGCGATGTACTGTCACAAATGAAACTTTATGCACTAACATGTATTTAACTCTGCAGTCAGTTTCAGGACAATATAAGCCTGAGGGCAGATGTAGAACATTATAAAACATACTCAGGGATTTATTTATTTACATATGTCTGGCAGAGTCACTTACTAGATATCTGAGTTAAGATATTATCTCAGAGA